GGGGCTGGTGAACGGTATGGTCAATGTTTGTAAACACTGTGACATTTTGACTTTATTTGATCATTTCAGTTAAAAACTAACGTTCATATTTCATATTACTGTTTTGCCTGGCTGGACCTGTAATTTACAGGAAAGGAGTGCACGCTACTAAAGAGACACGCTACCATGGAAACCAAACAATGGTGTTGCTGTATTGAAGTCCGAGTGGAAACAGTCATATTTGGAGCGTTATGTTAGAATGAAACAGCGAGGTCGTGACTCACAAAAAAAAAGTGTTACTTCACTAACTGTAAGCTTGTCACTCAGAGTAACCTACAGTTAACTTAACTGTTGGAAAAGAAAGATCAGAGTTAGGAGTGTGAACACACAGCTGAGAGCTGCCGTTTCATTCTGACTGTTTAAAAAACGGTAACAACGGACTATTTTTCTTAGCGGATGCATGTAAATTTAAATCAATACATAGAACTATGTTTTAAATCAATAAAAATATTTTCTAAATCCATAAAAGCATTTTAATTAATATTGGGAGTCATGTCGTTACTTTGTTGAGAATGTGGCCATGTAATAAGCGGGATAATTTGCAGCGACTTGGTCATTATGGGGAAAAATAACACCCAGGGATCAAGATCCCTCCGCGACGCGGAGGGATCAGTAATCTTTAGTGAATTACTGAGTTTAGGCACGTTAATAACATTTTAATGAAGTTGAATACAGTATATTCATATTTGTCAGTGATTTCATGTCAATTCGGCGAACATAAACGATTAAATTAGGATTAAAAATCGAGAGCCGGCTGCTGTTCGTTACGGTAACCCAACTAGGACACTTGACACAGTGGCTTTTGGCAAAGCACACAAAGAAAACAAAAAAAAACCGAGAGAGATGAGTTATTGTTATTACAACGTGACTTCACTATTATTTAACAACTATTTTTATTGGGTTCTTTTATTTGGGGTTAAGTACATTGTCAGAATAAGTGAGAAATGGATTTAACTTCTGTTAGACAGCTATCATACTGAATAAATATTTATGCAAAAATGTATGGCATTAATAATGTATATCTAATTACATTTAAAAATGTATGGCATTAATAATGTATATCTAATTACATTAACTGTGAATGTCTTTCATTTTATTTAAAATGAAATAAAATTACATAAAACATTTTCCATAAAAAAGTTGATTCAAGAACAAATCAGTACTTTTCTTATATGACTATTATTGCTAAATTTGAAAGGTCTTTACCAGCTTTGGAATTATATATATATATATATATATATATATATATATATATATATATATATAGCACCTTCTGCCATCCCATCTCTACTGACATATGGATCTTAACAAAGATCCGCTATACATTAGTACCAGATATACTGTACACGGACATTTTAGTGAACCAGACCAGCTGTTTCCGCCGGGTCTTCGCTTCCCGGGCATCACGTTGTTTACAAGTGTGTTCAGATGCTAAATGACAAGTGCAAGTGACAATTGTTGTCGTCTTCTCTGTGAACGTTTTTTTTCTCCGTTATTTTGCCATTTTCAGATTTAAATTTCGAGCGGAAAGCTAACCAGGAAGTAATAATTACTTAAGCGGAGAACGGAGAAAGTAAACGTTACAGCAGGCATAACAACAGCCCGTGTTTATTTTATTATAATATATATCATTTGTTTTAAAGCTCAATATATAGTTTTATTATAATATATAGTCGTTATTCATTTGTTATAAAGCTATACTGTACACGGACATTTTAGTGAACCAGACCAGCTGTTTCCGCCGGGTCTTCACTTCCCGGGCATCACGTTGTTTACAAGTGTGTTCAGATGCTAAATAAAAGTTTAGCTTGTACTTTTGATACCCCGCCTCTCGGCACCACAACATCCAGTTTACTGTATTTCACATGAGCGATGTCGAACATTGAAAAGTCCTTATAAAATCTCTGTTATTAGATCAGTACTTTTCTTATATGACTATTATTGACTTGAACACTGAGAATGTATTTATTAACTTCAGACATTTGAAATATTTGAAATCAGATGAAAACAAACTGTAACGGACCCTGCCGTGTTATCTATGATTACTATGCCTTACTGTACATTCATAATTTCAGCCGGAGGTAGGTGGTAGGCGTTGCGGAGGAGCAGATTGCGAGTGAGGTGCCTGTTCTAAACGAACTATTCCAGCTGTTATAAAGCATTAAATAAAAAGTAAGCAAGGAATACAGAATGTTTCGTTACGTAACTTTGTTGAGAATGTGGCCATGTACATGTAATACATGGGATCATTTGCAGCGACTTGGTCATTGTGGGGAAAAATAACACCCATCCTGATCGTTTCAATGAAGTTGAATACAGAATATTCATATTTGTCAGTGATTTCATGTCAATTCGGCGAACATAAACATCAATGATGATGATTAAATTAGGATTAAAAATCGGGAGAGCCGGCTCGTTCGTTTTTTCCGACTAAACAACATCTATTATTTAGAAGTTGATTTCACATGACTCCAGTGTGGAACCCCACTGCACCCCCTGGTGGATCAATGATCCATTGCAGCTGGCTTCACAATAATTAAATGTATTTATCATGGGGGCGGTATCAAGTCTGACTGGGGGCCGGCCGGCCATCACGGAACGTGCACAAACCGATCACGACCCTCGCATTTTAAACTGTCCAAAATAAGACGCTTCATCTGTATTTGGCCAAAGCGGGTTAGGCCCCACTGCCCCACTCCCTCAATAGGGAAGTCACGCTTTGGGAAGAGGTGTTTAATTTCACAGATCTGACTTGGTTGCTGTTGTGATGGCTGTAGTAAGAGGGACGGGGGAGGAAAATTCATAGGGGGAAGAAGCAGAAAGATAACTTGTTTGTAAAACGGACAGCACGTCAGTTTCAGGAAAGATGACACCGGTTTTAGGCATGACATGCCAAATATCCTGAAGCCCTACAAAAAAAAAGGTATATTGTGTTGAAAATATCGCAAAAAGTCGTAATATTGTATAATGTAATAGTTGCATGTTGTATTTTGATAAAAATCACTGTATATTCAAAAATATAATGGAGAGAAAAAAATATATATATATGTTATATATATGTATGTTGAAAAATATGAAAAAAGTAATGTTGTGTTAAAATAATATGAAAGAAATCAAAAAGTAAAGCATCTAAAAAAACATATATTTAAAAAAGTAATGTTAGTCAAGTCAAGTTATCAAAACTGCATTGTTTCATCGAAACAGTGTTAAAATCACAAACTCTCCATTTAGAGTTTGATTCTTGAAGAAAACTCAATTCATTACAAATGAATGAATATTTTACCAAGTTATATAGTTTTCCATACATAAACGTGTATCTTACAGTTCCTTTGTGAGAGAATTACGCACAAATTGCAGTATTTTATCTGTTTTATGTGCACTGTTGGAGGAGCCTGTGACCTATGTTTTTCATTGACATATCTACACTGTAGCTAATGGGCATATGCCATAAAGCCTTGAAACTTGAAACTTAAAATGATCAGAAACTGCATTGTCTCACTGAAAACAGCTCTAAAGAAAACCCAATTCCAATAAAAGTTTTAGGTGACTTAGTGAATGAGAATTAACAGCTGATCGCAAGATCAGGAGGTGACAGGCAGGGGGGAGGGGAGGGGGGGTGGAGGGGGTATGAGGGGAGACAGTCTCACACACCCAGACTCCATTTTTCATGAAGAGCCTCAGACGGAGGGTCTGAACCCGGCACAGATACTGCACCCGTTTCTTGACTGGCCCCCTTTAGCGCAATACCGCATCAGTTGCGCCACTTATGTGACATACAAGAATAGTGTGTGACAGACAAAAGAGTATGTGACAGACAAGAATAGTCAATTATAATGTCTACACATAATGTGTAGCAAGAGATGTCCTGTATGGGTTGATTGCGCGTTGATCTGTTGGTAATGCCTCGGGGTTCCGGTGGGCATGTAAACAAAATGCATAATGCTGTACTATACTTTGTGGCCTCACCCCGTTGCATAGTGACGCTTATTGTTTAGGTGTCTTTTAATAAGCAGGTAGTCATATCATTAGCTAGAACTAGATAGATCTGATCGATATGGGCATAAACGCTAGTAAAGTCTAATCTAGTAAAGTCTAATCTGACGGGGGAGACCCGCTGTTGCTGACCCGTTTATTATTCCCGTGTTTATTGTAAATTACTGTACACGTTTGAATAGTTAATTAATCTACTATGATTAGTTGGTTTAATATCGAATCATATCAATTTGTTTCAAAGCTCAAATGACTGGCTTTTATCTAGTTTTGCATAGATTTCTATTTTTATGACTGACTCCACCCCTCACTATCTTCAGGGGTGGGGGGCGACAGGGAGGATGTGACGCCTACTGTAAGGGGAGAGGAGGGGGTGGGTTGAGAGGGGTGGGGGCTGAGAGGGGTGGGGGGCTACAGGGCGGATGTAACACCTGTATGTGAGGTGGAGGGGGGTGGGCTGAGAAGGGGTGGGGGGCTAAGGGTGGGGGGGGGGCGGAGAGGGGGGGGGGCTACCGGGAGGATGTAACACCTGTACGCGATAACACCTCGAACAAAGGGGCTCATTAGCATATCAAGGGGGCTCATTAGCATAATTAGGGGGCGGGACTTAGAAGGTGTGACCTGTCACTTTTTTATGCATACTAATGTGATTGAAGCGGGGATTGGTAACACTACTAATATGAAATCATGTAAAAGATGATTCAGGACTTTTTCATTTGAATTTTTCTTGATATTACAAACATTGATCCCTATCAATAGTTATATACATATAACAACAAGTATTGATACTGACTATTATCACAGTAGTTAACAGCCCTCACATAAATAGTGTAAACATTAAAACACATAAAACCTACAGGTGCTTTAAACACAGAGGAATAATCTCCATGTGTCAACACAGGGAGGAGTGAAGTGATTTTGAATATCAGACCTGTGAGGTAGAGAGCGATGTCGTAAACATCCAGACTCACCTGGGATGGTTCTGACAGTTAAGATAGGATCTGAAAGGCAAAAAACAAACAGAAGTGTTTTACAATTCTTGGATGACATTATCAGCTGTCCTCAGAAAACGTGTTATACAACAAATATATGTACTATCGTAATCTTAAAAAGAAGCACCAGTCTCAGATTTAGCTTTGTTTCAATTCAATCTTTATTTCAGACTCAAGGTCCATATCACCTACAAAATGACAAAATACACAACAATAAATAAGATTAAACAAAAAAACAGATACAAAACATAAAACCAGTCCAATGACAGCTAGCCACACATGCTCACTGTCTGTAGAGGCTGTTGCGCCAATGTCTCCAAGTCATGGAAGAGAACCGAGTAGAACTCTTCACAGGGTTAATTAAAATCGAGATAACATGATTGTCAGAGTCTTCTAGGCGACACATGAATTTGTACATTAACTTCCTTAAAAGGGCTTGACAGGTAGGTACCCCCAAGTTAACAAACAGCTGTCTGGCACTGTGCCATCTTGGTACCCTCACCAGCAACCGTAAAGCATCATTGTATGCAACTTTTAGTTTTTGCATGCTGCTAGCCTTGTAGTTACTCCACAGGTGAGCCGTGTTTACACTGCTGTACAGAAAGCTTTAAAAAAGTGATACCTTGACATCTACAGAGCACTTGTGAAATGTCCGCATTAATATGTTTGCCTGGGCATTACAGTTTGCAGCGTTGTCTATGGATGTCTTTGTCGTCTGAGATCATCAGAGATATAATGACCAAGGTACTTCATCTCACTGCACACAAGAAGAATGTTGCTACTGAGAATACAATTAGGAAATACAGCCTTTTTATCCTCTTTACTTCGCACAATCATGATGCTACTCTTCTTGGCGTTATACTTAAAGGGCTGGAGACGCTGTAGTACATATGTCAGGCCTGTATGTGGTGCTGTTCTCACAGAATCAACCCTTGCAAAAACAGCTATAAATTGTCAAATTGAGCGAAATGAGGCATGGCTAAAATGCATGATCTGTTTGGTATTTGAAAAAAAAAAGATAATAAATATGCCTTATATAGGTATGGTCCTACACTATATTATTCAACTATAGCATGATAGGTCCACTTTAATATTACAATCAATGCCATACTGGGATCCTCAGACGCTGCTGTAAGCCTGCACTGCTACGGGGAGGAAAAGATGATTAAATCATCTGCGTACATAAGGTGGTTGACAACAGTATCACCGATGACACAGCCAGTTATACACTTTTTGTTTGTGGTCAGTCCTTACAGACAGAGTGTCTGCTGGACAGTAACATGAGAACATTATGGCTGATGTTCATCCAACAGTGTGTCTGTTTATTTGAAGACAGAGCAGATGAACATTGTCTCACAGGAGAATGAATGCTGCAGATTTAATGCACATGAGACTTGTGTATATCTATATATAAGAAGGCTTATTTGCTGTCTTATGAGAATACTCACCAACAACGAGCTCAATGCAGAATTTTTCATCAGGCTGTAGCTTTGGAAAATAGCAGGTGTAACTTCCACTGTCGATCACCTTCGTCTTCCTGATGAAGATGGAGGCGTTTCCGTGCTTCAGTTCATTTTGAAAATATGAGACTCGTCCTTTAAACTGCTCACTCTGACCTGAATGACGTTCATAATGAACAGCAGAATCGTACATGAAGACTTGCGTGCAGAGTTTCTCCTCCCTGACCGACCTTCTTCCAGTCAAACAGTTTATTTTGGAGGTTTTCTCTGGTGCTGGGGGGAGCAGGGTTAAAATAACATCTGGTCCCTTCTGTGGAGATCACTTTGCTGTCAGCTGGAAGATAGAACATGTGGTTACTCAGTGTGTTCACCTGCAGAGGCTGAACACACACACACACACACCCACACACACCACAACACACACACACACACACACACACACACCACCACACACACACACACACACACACACACACACCACACACACACACACACACACACACACACACACACACACACGTCATTTGATAAAAGTCAGTTTTATTCATTTTTAGATCTGGATTAAATGGATTGGATGTGAATATATCTGACAAAATTTAAAATGTCATTTTTCTTATAGCAATACATTCTGATGTCATATCTATTATTTCTTTGCTCTCTCTCTCTAATTTACCAGAAATGTTATTACATTGAATCCTAGTGGAGGACAAGAACACTGAATCTCAGCTGAATACTTTATTTATTTTATAAGATCCATACATGTTTTTGTGTAAAGACATCCCTTAATGGTGTTTTTTATGAGAGCACTAGCAATAAAAGGCCTATTACAATAAGATGATGATTATGGCTTAGACTGATAAGAAGAGACCTTTAGATATCTTATTTATTATATTGATCAGGTTATAACCATGTTGCAATGGGCGCTCCTTTTCTTCATAGGCTTTCTACTGATTAGCATTACTTTAGATATTGTTCTACATTTCCCTATGACCAATAAAAAGCACACTAATAATATTCTGTTTCCAGACCTTCTGCATGTTTTTTTTAGCCTTTAGATGTAATTAATTACCAAAATGACGTAATGTTGTGTGAATAAGAGTGTAAGTGTTCTCACCGTTTGTGCAGGCAGACGAGTTTCCAGTCAGGAGACTGAAGAGAAGAAGAAGAGGAAGAAGAGGAAGAAGAGGAAGAAGAGGAAGCTGCTTCATCATGCTGGAGGGTTAAACTGCACACACTCCTCACACACTCCTCACACACACTCCAGCCCATCCCAATCACTTCCCATAATCTCTCACTTAAAATAGAAAGTCTTCTAGAGGTTTTCTGCATCACTTCCTGCTTCAAGTCCTTCAGAATAAAATCCTATCCTCATTTTATTTGGTGAATTCTGCAAAATGTATCAGACTGACTAACAACATACAAAAAGTACTGCAACACTAACACTGAATATGTTCATTATATAAAACACTACAATTCAACCACATATTCTCTGCATTGTTTCACCTGTACTCACCTGCAGCTTACTTTGTTAGCAGCAGCACTTCCGGTGCATTTCTCCACAATAAAAGCAGATTTAGTTTAGCACAGAATAGATTAAGAAGTTATTTTGTGATTTGGATCTTTATTATTTCACTGCATTGGTTACATTCCCAGTAACTTGGTAATGAGGGTACAATTCTCCCAGCATGCACTGCTCACAGATTTTAAGATGAAGTTCCCAAGAAGAAGTCTTCCTCCTAATTTTTTTTCAAGAGTGTAAACAATGAACTACATTTTGAAAGAGTGCGCAACACACACACACACACACACACACACACACACACCACACACACACACAACACACACACCACACACACACACACACACACACACACACACACACACACACACACACAACACACACACACACACACACACACACACACACACACACACACAACACACACACACCACACACACACACACACACACACACTGCAGTAATGATGCCAAATGGCTACAGCAACAGCACTACGAACATCTCCAAAATCAACACAGACTTGAACTGTTTATTTACAAAGAATGTGTTCAACAGTGACTTTGTTTAAATCCTGTCATACCACTTATTATGGAGGAAGTGAAAGTTAGATTAAGTAAATAAGGAAGATTCAAACGGGTTCTTACTCCTTCCTTACGGTGACTTCAGCCTGTTGAATAAGAACAGAGTAAACAGAGGAGCAGCCATCCAGCAATCTACTGCTGATACATAAAGAAACATGTACACTACATTTAGAAGTGTACTGATGTTAATGTGAAATCAGGATTAAACCATGTACTAATATATCTTAAAATATTGTAAAACAAATATTAGTATGTGAAGTCATGTGAGGGGAAAACCCTGAATTAGAAAAATGAATGCTGATAAATAATGTCCCTTTTTATTTAATTTGGACTTTTCTTTAATTTAAGTAATTTAGTGGGAATGCTGATAGAGCATTCCAACTATATGTTATGCTACGGACAAAAAGTTTATTATTATTATTCCGTCCAATTATTTTGTCCGTCTTCTTCCTCCTCCACATTCAACATCGCAGAAAACTCCGTTCAAACATCAAAACGTTCAGCTCGGTCGGGAATCGGGCGCTATTACTTTTATCATTCATAACTTTCATAATTCCAGAGATACATCCCATAATACATCACATTTTTTACCATTGAAGTCAATGGAGAATTCTTCAGACTTCAACAAATCTTCATGCGACTTCAACTGCTAACTGTTCATTCATACTTTCACTCAGAAACCTCATTCCAACTTTAAAATGTTACACATCTTCTGACATTATTCGTGTAACACAACTTTTAAATCTGATTCTTACTTTTAGAGATATTAAACATTGTTCAGACCTTGTTAAAGAGGTTTTCTTCAGATTTAACATTAACTAGAGTGCGTGATGTCACAGCTAGAGGGTAAGAAATCTTGAAATGTGCCTTCATATTCTTTTTTAAAACTGCCATAATTCCCAAACCCTACATTCCTGAGACATCATTTTTCATGACAAACGTAAGAAAACATCTCGTAGCTTGAAAAATGACAAATAATTAAGCAACATAATTAAACAAATGCCTCTTGAGGGCATGAAGTGACACAAACGTTCAACATGTCTCCAGTAAAGCCCATTGTAATTTCAGGCTGATATTTCCTCAACAGCAGCAGCCGCACACCTTCTTAAACTGCCAAAAAGGCCACATTATTAACCCGAAAGTACACAAAAATTACACTTCAGATACTCAACTTCTTGACATGCTTCACGTTTTGAAATTTCACAGATATCTGTTATCGTTTCTTCCACAAAACGTTCACATGTTAAGAGGTTCATCTCTCATTCAGAACAATGAAGCCTTTGATCTCTTTCATAGCTCGTTAGCTCAACTATCAACACCTGTGTTTGAACACGATGTCATCACTCCAACTGACAGCAGTCAGTTCTAACTGTTCATTTTTCTCTCTCTCTCTCTCCTCCTCTTCCTCTCTCTCTCTCTCTCC